CTCTGATGCTGCCTGGCCTGCTGCGCTCCTCCAGCTCCACACTGTGTTTTCTCTGACTCCAGCATTGGCAGTTCTTACTGTCTCTCATTAGTTTCTGTCTTCTCTGCTCCCACGTACGGTGATATTGAACCAGTTTTACCCTTGCAGTAGCTCCAGTCTGGTTGCGAAATTGACAGTTGATGCTGGAAAATTTTATGGAAAGCTGAAGCATCAGTCTTCAATCCAACTAACCAAGACAGTCTTCCTGAAGGTTTTGGGACTGATTGTTCCCAGTGCTTAAAATTGCAAGGGCCAAATTTCAGATTGTTGCAAGTGCAAACAATCTTTTTTCCATTAGCTACAGCAGTGTTGTACTGAAAGCTAAACAAGCTTTTTTTTTAAACTGTAGTTCCAATGCCTATGGATGACTCCGAGTTTGTGACATAACTGGGCTGAAGGGCTATTAAATGCTGCACAGAAATTGACCTCTCAATCTGTCCAGTCCATTCTGCTGTTGATGTTTCATAAGCCTTGTCCACTCTGTTCAATCCTAATCCTAATAGTGCAATGTTTTCTTCCTTCCTTCTCTACCAAGCCTTTATCTAGCTTACTTTAAATCCAGCAATGCTATTTGTTCCATATTCTGACCATTCCCGGAATAAAGGTATATCTCCTGAATTCATCTAGAGCAATGTTTTCGATCAGGTGATGGGTAATGAGGCAGATTTAATAAGTTATGTCAGAGTAACAGATACCCTAGGAAAGATTGACCATAACATGGTAACATGTAGCATTTAATATGAGTGTGAGGAACGTGGATCCAAAACAAATAAGTTTTAAATAGAGGTAATTGCAAAGGAATGAGGACAGAGCTGGCTGGAGTGGACTGGGAAAAGAATTTAGCAGCAAAGACCATTGAGGAACAATGGAGGGACTATTTAAGAAAATAGTTCATGGCTCACAGTGAGGAAAAAGAATCTAAGAAGGGGTTAGCATTAAATAGAAAGAACAAATATAAATATGTGAAGATTATGGTCAGCCAAAGGATTCGGAAAGCTTTAAAAACCAACAAAACACAACCAAAAACAATTATGGAGGAGAAAATAAACTCTGAGGATAAACTTGGAGGTAATATCAAGCCAAACAGCAAGAGCTTCTTTAGATATATAAAAAGAAAGAGAGAAGCGAAAGTGAACAAAGATTTGGAGTCCTTTTCCACAAGTCACAAAAAGTTAGCATCCAAATTCAGTGGGTAATGGGGAAGGGAAATGGAATGTTGGCCTTTATTTCAAACGAAATGAGCTGTAAAGGACGGAAGCTTTTCTATAACCATATAAGGTACCAGATAGACCACAGATGGAATTCTGTGAACAGGTTCGAGGTCATAATCTAAGGAAAGATATAATTGAATTGGAGGCAGCCCAGAGAAGCTTCACGAGGTTAATCCCAGGTATGAAGGGATTGTTTTATGATGAGAGGTTGAGTAGTTTGGGCCTGTATTCATTGGAATTTAGAAGAATGAGAGACAACGTCATTGAATCGTACAAGTTTCTTAAGGCATTTGACAAGGTATATGCGGAAAGATTGTTTCCTCTTTTGGGAGAGGATATAATCTCAGAATAAGGGCTAGCACAATTAAGATAGAGCTGAGGAGGAATTTCTTCTCTGAGAGTAGTGAATCTTTGGAATTCTTTACTGCAGAGGGTTGCCAAGGTCAGAATCATTAAGTATCTTCAAGGCTGGGATAGACATTTTTAATCACTAAGGGAATCAAGGGTTATGGGGAAATGGCAGGAAGGTATAGTTAAGAATTATCAAATCAGCCATGATCTCATTAGTTGGTGGAGCAGACTTAATGGGCTCGTTTCTCCGATATATAGGTGATATCATCGGTGCTGTTTCCCTCTCTCATCTGGAATTGGAAAAGTTCATCGATTTCGCTTCCAATTTCCACCCTGCCCTCACTTTCACCTTGTCTATCTCTGACTCCTCCCTTCCCTTCCTCGACATCTGTTTCCATTTCTGGGGATACTCTGGCCACTAATATCCATGATAAACCCACTGACTCTCTCAGCTACCTGGACTATACATCCTCACACCCTGCTTCCTGTAAAGACTCCATTCCATTCAGTTTCTCCATCTCCGTTGTGTATATTCAGATGAGGCCAACTTCCGAAATGTCCACCTTCTTCCTCAACCGAAGATTCCCCATTGCTGACAGGACCCTCAACCGGATCCAACCCATCTCTCGCACTTCTGCCCTCACTCCCTCTCTTCCCTCCCACAATAACGATAGGGTTCCCCTTGTCCTTACCTACCATCCCACCAGCATCCACATCCAGAAGATCATTAGATGCCATTTCTGTCACCACCTTCGAGATGCCGCCACCACCAGACATATTCCCCTCCCCTCCCTTGTCCGCCTTCTGCAGGGACCGTTCCCTCCGGAACACCCTGGTCCACTCTTACTTCATCCCCAACACCCCCCCACAGCCCCACAATACCTTCCCCTACAACTGGCGAAAATGTACCACCTGCCCATTTACCTCCTCCCTCCTCAGTATCTAAGGGCCCAAACATACCTTCCAGTTGAAGCAACACTTCACCTGTACTTTCCACGATCTAGTCTACTGCATTCGCTACTCACAATGTGATCTCCTCTACATTGGGGAAATGAAGCGTTGACTGGGTGATTACTTTGCAGAACATCTATGTGCTGCTCGCAAGAAAGACCCTGAGCTTTCAGTTGACTGCCTCTTTAACACACCACCCTGTTCCCTGGCAAACCTCTCTGTCTCAGGCTTGCTGCAGTGCTCCAGTAAGTGCAAGTTGGAAGAACAACACCTCATTTTCCACTTGGGGACCCAGCAGCCCTCTGGACTCCATATTGAGTTCAATTATTTTAGGGCCCAAACCCTCCCATGTCTAGCGCCCTACCCACACACCAGGCCTTGTTATCACATAGCCTGCCATTACACACTACCTATTTTTAGTCACTAACAGTCCCATTAACTGCTATTCACCCTCCTAGCCAGATCATTATCAATTCCTTTATCTATCCAATTGTTCTCCTCTCTCTTTGGGCTCTATCCTTTATAAGAACATAAGAACTAGGAGTAGGAGTAGGCCGCCTGGCCCTTCGAGCCTGCTCCGCTATTCAATAAGATCATGGCTGATCCTTTCGTGGACTCAGATCCACTTACCCGCGTTCTCACCGTATCCCTTAATTCCTTTATTGTTCAAAAAAAATCTACCTTTTTTTAAAAAACATTTACTGAAGTAGCGTCAACTACTTCACTGGGCAACTACTTCACTACTTCACTATCCTATTGCTTACTCCCTACCTCATCCCCCTCCTTATTTTCTGCATATAAACCAACGTCTTCCCAGTTACTATCAGCTCTGAGGAAGGGTCAATGGGCCCAAAACATTAACTCTGATTTTTTTTCTTCACAGATGTTGCCAGACATGCTGAGCTTTTCCAGCAACTTGTGTTTTTGAGACTTGATGGGCTGAATGGCCTACCTCTGTTCCTCTGTCTTATGGTGGTCTTGGATTTATTATCTATGTCAATGCCCCTGGGTCATGCAGTAATGATCCTCAGTTTATCTTTGTCAAATGCCATTATAATCTTTTAAAGACCTCTGTCTGGTCATCCCTAAGCTTTTTTTCTTGAAACAGAGAGGAACAAGATATCTATAATTTCTTAGTTCTGTTTTTTTTCATTGCTGTAAACACAAGACATGTTGATTTTTATTTGCTTTCAGTATGTAACTAACTGGCAAGAATATTTATTTCATTACTTCCTGTGATTTTCTTGTTTGTAGGTCCCAGTTTCGAAGTTCCAGGAATTGCGGTACAATGTTGCCCTAATCCTGAAGGAAATGAATGACTTGGAAAAGAGAAGCATTTTGAAAATTCAAGATTAGCATATTTGTCATCAAAACAAAACTGTAAACCAGTGTTATATGTCAGGACCTAATATACAGAGCCTTTACGTCCAAGGCAATCTAGCTTTATTAAAGCTGCCTTACCTAGAAAACTTTTCATTTTATTTGTCGCGTTCACAGTCATCCAAATCATTTCTTGTGAACTGTGATCACTGGTGTGTCACGGCTTCTTGAATTAATTTTGGTATTCAACAGCCTTAAAATGGCCTGTCTGTCTTTGACGCAAGCTGTATATCAGTTAAAGGCTGAGCAACTGGCTTGATAGATCAGCCCAAGTCACCCAACTGCACTGGAGTTTATGTAATCAGGAAAATTACATTGGCAGTAGTCTGTGTATTGAGTGGTAGAGAGAGGGGAAACTTAAATTGTGGAGTAAAATTAAAAAATGTTATGCAAGAACTTTAATAAACAAGACTAATAGTGTAAGTTACAACTGGAAAATGATTAAAGAATGAGCTTTTCCATGTTTGAACATGACCAGCCCTTTTATGTAAGCTTTTAAGTTGAGTGATCTTTAGCTTGTACAATAACAGATCTAGTTTCAAATATGATAAAATCTCAAAACTGGTAGAACATGTTATATAAGGCACCATACTTCGTCATTTGTTTTTTTAGTATGGTAAAGTTTCTGACCAGTGCAGAACACAAGCATTGTGTTTGTGGCTACAAGTCAATGAAAAATCCATCCATAGATAGGAAGTATGTTTGTGTAGATTCACACATATACTAGACTATTTATCTTGCTTCAAGGATCTTGCATTCGGATAGAAACTATTGATGTCAAATCTTCAGACGTACACTGTAACAGCCCAGTTGTTTATCAGTTGAAGCCACATGCTTTTGGTGTAAGTCTCTCTCCTAAAACTGATAGGAACTGGGAAACAATTGAAGTAATAAAGTGTTTGAACCTGTTTTGTGTCTCCCTTTCTCTCTCTCTCCCTCCTTCTAAAATCTCATGATAGCATGGACTCTTGCATAAGAAATAATTCATTGCACCTTTACCAAATGGCACCTTTTTTATGTGAGATTATTTATGGTGTATCACAGCCGATCTCAACATATCCACATACCCGCATAGTGGTAAGCGTCCTGTCCCTGGTTGGGAGACCTGGGTTCAAGTCCCACCTACTCCAGAGGTATGTAGTAAGAAAAATTTAGGACCCTGTTGTGGTGCAGTGGTAGTGTCCTTATCCCTGGAGCAAGAGACCTGGGTTCAAGTCCCAGCTGCTCCAGAGGTGTGTAATAATATCTCTGAACAGGTTGATTAGAAAAATAGGTTCAATTTTTTTAAAAAGCGCAAAATTCCCCACAGCAACTAGAAAATAAACTGGGACCTTTGTCAGCATTGGTGCTGAAATCAATTCTCACCTGCTATGATGTTGGAATGTTCTTAGATTTGTTTTGACAGTCTTAGGTGCAAAAGGTAAACTAAGAATTTCTTGATAAGTTATGCAATTCCCATACTTATTGTGACTCTTTATATCCCATGTGCATTCTTTGAAATGTTGCATGCATAATGATGGTATTATGTAATTACTGAAGCATTCGCTTGACTCATTTCATAACGTCCCCACCACTGAGTCAGAAGTTTCAATGTTCATATCTCAGTCAGGTTTTCACATAGTCTAGGCTGCTGCATGAGTGCAGTGCTATGGGAAAGCTGTGTTGTTGACACTGTAAGGAGAGCTAAATTCTTTCTAGTACCCTAACCTCACATTTTTCCCTCTATAAACATCAATAAAAACAAATTAAATTGTCATTAATCCAATTTACTCAATGTGCGCTAATTGTGTTTATCCTCTTAAATGTCTCCAATTAATTAAATTTGGAATTGTATGTAACATGTTTTGAACATTGAGTGACATTGTAAAGTACAGAAATGTTTTTGTTTACACTATTCATTCTTAACAAACCTCTTTAAGCTTGCATAATAACAGATCCAATTTCAAATGTAATGAGGCTTTGAATGTCGTATAATGTGTTATATAAAAGTGTCGTTGTTTTTGGTGTTTTTGTATTTCTCAGAGACATGTAGAACTGAGGGCACAATTTTCAAAATAAGATGGAGCTGAAGAGGAATTTATTTTCTTAAAGTCATTACTGTTTGGAATTCTTTACTCCAGTGAGTAGTGATAATTGGATAGTTGAACATATTCAAGGCTTGAGTTGGACTTTTGATAAAGCAAGTCAAAGGTTCTGAGCGAAGAGTTTGGGGCAGGCAGTGAAGTGCAGTTCAGACCACAAACCAATTAGCCATGATCTTATTTGAATGGCAGAGCAGGCTCAATGGATTAGATAGATTTCAGGGCGAATAGAAAGCAGCTATTCTCCTTCTTCAAAGGATAGATAACAAGGGGCCATAGTGTTGTTGTGGTGTAGAGATAGTGTCTTGACCTTTGAACCAGGAGGCCAAGGTTCAAGTCCCACTTGCACCAGGGCTGTGTCATAACTTCCCTGAAATGGTTGATTAGAAAATAACGAACACAGGGCGACAATTTTAAGATGAAAAGCAAGAGGTTTAGAGGGGATTTGAGGACAAGTCTTTTTCACCCAGAGGCAATGCATTTCCTGAGCGGGTAATTGAGGTGGGTAACCACACAACCTTTAAAAAGTACTTACATGAGCAGTTGAAAAATTATAAAACTCAATGTTGTGGCCTAGTGCTGGAAAATGGGATTAGTGTGGAATTTAGTGTAACTTTGGAAATACAGATCTGATGGGCTGAAGGACCTGTTCTATGCTACAGATTCTAGGCACTCATTGAAAAAAAAATTTTCATTGTGTCTGTAAGGTTTGGAACAATATATATATATAAAATATGAGACTATTATTTCACAAGAAACTAAAAATAAATTGGCAAATGCCTACATTTCTGTGCCTGACCTTAACTGAGAAATTTCTTGTGAAACATACTTGTAATTTTATTATTATTTTTCAAACTGTCTTACAATTGTCAGCATACAAGTGATACTAATCTGAATAGTTGCATGGTTGTTAAGAGTAGCCATTAACATTTTTAAGTGTTTGTTGATGGAAAGGATCTGGGGATCACAGTTTTAAAATGGCCAGTGTGATGAAAGAATGGAAAACTGATGCACCATTATGCTTGGTAGAATCTTACTAATTACTATATCCTTTCTTGTTCTTTCAAAATGTATTATTTCAAGTTTCTCTACGATGAACTACAACCTACCCATCCTGTTCACCTATTGATCTGCTCCTGTGCTCTTTGCGGTCCCTATCACAAATTCAGATCACCTGTGATTTTCAGTGTTTTTCCAAATAACAAAAAAATATAAACTTGTCTGACTCTGGTAATATAATAGAAAGCAAGGGGCTAAAATTTGCTGTTAAAACAACAATGAGGCTAATAGTATTCTTTTTATGCCAAGCTGGTGGAGCAACTTAGTGCACAGAAGTAATTTGCAGTTAATTATGAATATCCGAAAGCTGTTGTCTGAGTTGCACCACAGAATTTACTGCAAAAAAAAATCATCTTGCTGGCTGCCATGCCATTAAAATACATTGTTGCGCCATTGATGTGTTTGCATGCTTGATAGAAGTAAACACACCAGATAATGGGTTGTCATTTAGTGTAAGTACCCTTTAACACTGTGACCAATGTTAATTACTGCCAATCAACTTCTTTGGCAATGAAATGAACTATTATAGAATCACAGAAATGTTAAGTTGCGGAAGGAGGCCATTCATCCCATTGTGTCTGCACCAGCTCTTCAGATGAGCTTCGTTCCCTAGTACCAATCTCTTGCTTCTCCGCCTCACCCACCCTGCCCCAGATATTGCGCATTATTTCTATTCAAATAATCATTCAATGCCTTCTTGAATGTTTCAATTGTACCTACCTCCACCTCACTCCAGGTAGTGCATTCCAGACCCTAACTACTCGGTGTGTGAAAAAGCACCCCCCCCCCACATCACATTTGTTCTTTTATAATTTATTTTACATCTATGGCCTCTCATTCTTCTGTTTCCAAGTGCAAACAATTTCTCCCTATTCACTTTCATCAGTCCACTAATGATTTGAAAACCTTTATCACATTTCTGCATCATTAATAAAGCAAAATACTGTGGATACTACTACTGTAAATTTGAAACAACCACAAAAAATGCTGGAGAAACTCAGTAGGTTTGGCAGTATCTGTGGAGAGAGAAAAACAGTTAACACTTGAGCCTGGTTAGATTCATCGTTGGACCAGACTCCATATTATCTGTTTCGCTCTCCATAGATGCTACTAGACCTGCTCAGTTTTTCCAGTGCCCTCTATGTGTTTCTCCTCTTAGTTTTCTTCTCTCCCAGGTAAACAGTCCAAAATTCTCCAATCTACCCCCATAACTAAAGCTCATCGTCCCTGGAACCATTCTTGCAAATCACATCTGAACACACTCCAGTGCATTCTCATCCTGCCTATAATGTGGCACTCGAACTGTACTCCAGCTGAAGCCTAACAAGGATCTTGTACAAATTAAACATTCCTTCTTTGCTCTTGTAGTCTGTGCCCCTATTAATAAAGCTGAGGATACTGTATGCTTTATTAACTGCTCTCTTATCTGTCCTGCAATAATCAATGATCTGTGCACACATACACCCAGATCTTCTGCACTTGCACTCTCTTTAGATTGATGCCCCTATTTTGTATTGACTTTCAATGTTTTTCTCTGCTGTAATGCATAATCTGACACCTCTCTATATTGAACCGCTCTGTCCACTCCTCCTTTTGCTATGTTGTTTTGGAGTTCTACACCATTGTTGTCACAGTTTACAATTCAATGTTTGTGTTAATTTCAAATTTTGAAATTGTCCTCTGCACACTAAGATATATCAGGAAAAATAAGGGTTACAATCTCAACTCCTGGGGAGCCCTGCTCCAGAACTCCCTCCAGCCTGAAAAACATACATTTCCTATCACTCAGCCACTTTTGTATCTGTGTTGCTATGGTCCCTTTTATACCATGGTCACTAACTTTTCTCACAAGTTTGTGTGGCACTGAATCAAATGCTTTCTGGAAGTACAAGTATATCACAATAATGTTACCCTCATGGAATCTTTCTGTTACCTCTTCAGAAAACTCCAGTACGTTAGTCAAGCACAATTGCCCCTTCATAAATCCTTCACGACGACTTCCTAAGCAACCCACCTTTTTCCACATGTCTATTAATTCTATCCCGAATAATTGTTTCTGGAAGCTTCCCCACCACTGTGGTTAAACTCACTGGTTTCTAATTGTTGGGTTCTTCCTTACAACCTTTCTTGAATTATGTTTGCAATTCTCCAGTCTTCTGGCACCTCCCTCAAGTCCAAGGAAGACTGAAAGATTACACAGAGTTTCATTTCTTCAAGTATTTTATAACATTTGAATATGTCATTTTCTTTTTACTTTTCCATTGTGCATTTATTTCCCTAAATCCAATCTTTCCATCCCGCTAATAGAGTTATAGAAATGTACAACGCTGAAACCGAGCTTTCAGACCAACTCGACCATGCCTACCAGTATCCTAAATTAATCTAATCCTAATTACCAGCATTTGACTCATTATTCCTTTTTCTACCTGAAACTAGCAAAATAATCGACTGTAAGTTATACGTCACCTTATGCTGTTTATTTCTCCATTTGGTTTTGATTAAAGTGATACATGGTCTTTTTTCCAACACTCTGCTATTATTGGATCACACAGGCTTGGTGAAAAATACCTAAACATTAAAAGATATGTCTAACTAATACCAAAGTACAAAAGATTCTTAGAAGAATTGACAAGTTAGGTGCAGAAATGTTATTTACCCCTGTTGGAGAGTCTCGGACCAAAGGGTATTATCTCGGAATAAGGGGTTGCAGATTTAGGACAGAGATGAGGAAGAATATTTTCTCTCAAGTGGGTAATGAATCTGTGGAAT